AACGAAAAAGCTTTCAACGATGTCCAATATCCCTTCCTTTTCCAAATTTTTTTACGAATACGCTTTTTAGAGATAGAAGTACGTTTTTTTGGAACTGCCATTCAAAAATGAAAAAAGTTTTTCAGTGGTATAATTGGATGTCAAAGACATTTATTATTCTATTCTTTCGGACTCTAGATCGAGTTTTTTTTTCTTTCAAATTTTATTATATATTATTTTCAAAACAAAAAAACAAAAAAGACATTCCAAAGTTTTAAACTCAACTGTTTTTTACTTTTTTTTACTAAAATTTGGTTATTAATTTTTTTTATTTAATGTTTGAAATGCGTACGAAAGTGCTCAGTTAATTAATCTATACTGATAGATTATCAAAAAAAAAAAAAAAAGCTCACTTAGTGTACTGGAAGATAATAACTAAATTCCAGAATTTAAATTCCTTAATAATTCTAAATAATCGAACTCAAATAACTTTTTTTTTTTAGGTAAAGTTTTTTTATTATATAATTAATATTTAAGTATTTTTTTCCCGTGTAAATCTTTGTTCTATTCTTAATATATGTATATAAATTATTGTAATACGGAATTATAATTCACTTTTTCTCTATCTGCATAAAATCACAATTTTTTTTTATATTTTATTTAGTAGTAATAAAAAAAAAGACAAATAATTTTTTTGACAGTAACTTAGTACTATATATTTAATCACTTCTCATTTTTTTTTTGAATATATATTTCTTTTCAACGGTTTATGCAGGATTATACTAATTCGAAAAAATTTCTATTTAGGTTTGAAATCGCGTGCTTTTTTATTGTCCCCTTTGAAAAAAAAAATAGATATATACAAACCAGTGAATAAGAAATAATAAATTTAAGAATAAAATAAAAAGGGTTTTTTATTTTATGGAACATACATATCAATATTCATGGATCATCCCTTTCATTCCGCTTCCAGTACCTTTTTTACTAGGAATTGGACTTCTACTTTTTCCAACAGCAACAAAAAATTTGCGACGTATGTGGACTTTTCTGAGTATTTTTTTGTTAAGTATAGTTATGATCTTTTCACTCTATCTATCTAATCAACAAATTTTTCTAAGTTACATTCATCAAAATGTATGGTCTTGGACCATAAATAATGAATTTTCTTTTGAGTTCGGTTACTTTATGGATCCACTTACTTCTATTATGTCAATATTAATTACAACTGTTGGAATTTTGGTTCTGATTTATAGTGACAATTATATGTCTCATGATCAAGGATATCTGAGGTTTTTTGCTTATATGGGTTTTTTTAACACTTCAATGTTAGGATTAGTTACTAGTTCTAATTTGATCCAAGTTTATTTTTTTTGGGAATTAGTTGGAATGTGTTCGTATTTATTAATAGGTTTTTGGTTCACACGACCTATTGCAGCGAATGCTTGTCAAAAAGCTTTTGTAACTAATCGTGTAGGGGATTTTGGTTTATTATTAGGAATTTTAGGTCTTTATTGGATAACAGGTAGTTTCGAATTTCAGGATTTGTTCAAAATATTCAATAATTTAATTTTAAATAATAGAGTAAATCTCTTATTCCTTACTTTGTGTGCATTTCTATTATTTGTGGGTCCTATTGCTAAATCCGCACAATTTCCTCTTCATGTATGGTTACCTGATGCCATGGAGGGCCCTACTCCTATTTCGGCTCTTATACATGCTGCTACTATGGTAGCGGCGGGGATTTTTCTTGTAGCTCGTCTTCTTCCTCTTTTTATAGTTATCCCTTCTATAATGTATATAATATCTTTGATAGGTATAATAACAGTACTCTTAGGAGCCACGTTAGCTCTTGCTCAAAAAGATATTAAGAGAGGTTTAGCCTATTCTACAATGTCTCAACTGGGTTATATGATGTTAGCCCTAGGTATGGGGTCTTACCGATCCGCTTTATTTCATTTGATTACTCATGCTTATTCGAAAGCTTTGTTGTTTTTAGGATCCGGATCCATTATTCATTCAATGGAAGCTATAGTTGGATATTCTCCAGATAAAAGTCAGAATATGATTCTTATGGGCGGTTTGACAAAACATGTGCCGATTACAAAAACTGCCTTTTTAGTAGGAACACTTTCTCTTTGTGGTATTCCCCCCCTTGCTTGTTTTTGGTCTAAAGATGAAATTCTTAATGATAGTTTGTTGTTTTCCCCAATTTTTGCAATAATAGCTT